TTAAACAACGTAAAGAATACCCAGGCTCCTACTGTAACCGTGGCCAATGTTATCTGGGTGAATCGCTCGAATACAGGGTAAACATGGGAGGCTTTATTATCTCCGTACTTCTATATACGTGTTTCTGTGTCAGTTAACCTACCCTACGTTATAATACTTAATATAATTGTACGTTTATATTATACAATATGTCAATACGTTAATTGAGAAGGAATTGTGTCTTTATATTCAGACAGAATGTAGTAATTCTCTTATTTTAAGTGTATTATAATAACAAGTGTTTCTCCCTTATTCGCCATGCCTTATTTTTCGTAAACAAACAATTTAATGTTGGGACTCGTCAAAAGGCTCAAGGAGGTATAATTCGCTATTAAATATTATTACAATTATTAATTTTTTAAGTATAAATAGTTTCCGAATATATATCTGATAACGTAAATATTGTACTTCGGTAATATGTTTTATATTTCCGTTTATGTGAGAATAGTTAGTCATTTTTCTACTTTCAGTTTTCATGTCTACTTCATTACAAATACGCCTTCATCTCTCATAACAACTTTGCTACGTTTTAATTAAGACTGTATGAATATGAAATTGTGTGATTTAGCCAGTAGAGACCCTTGTAGTCCACTGAAACTTTTTGACGCCCCAATATCCAAGGCAGAACGTAAACCAAGGTGCGTTCGTTATGCATCCTTGTAAACCGTTACAGTGAAAATTCCACATCGCCCAGTGGTTTATAAGACAAATCGACCAAATATATCATCTTCGTCTTATGAAGACATTTCGTCTGTTTGAATTCAGGTCATCTCAACCACAGATGTCAATTTCGGCTTTATGGTGATTCGCCTAGTGGGATACAAGTCGAATCGACCCGAATAAAGAAAATACGTCCACCAATGTATTGTCACCTGCAGATACTGTTTCATTGACATTTTGTTTAAAATACATTTGTCTCTTGTTGATATTGATGAATATTGCTATTATGTATAATCTTGTAAATTTGAGTATGTTATCTAATTTAGCATTCTGTTTGTACTCAGTAGTATATAGTGTTTTCGAATCATATTGATAGGCATAATATTTTATGATAGAATTTTATTTGTTTTATGTTTGAAATGTCTACTGATAATAATCCTAAAATGGAAGAATTAAATGCTACCGGTACCGACTTTCAGAGGCAACAGAGAGACAGAAATCCTACAGAAAAGGGTTTAGAATATACGGTAAATGTTTGTGTCAGTAACTTTCGCTCTGCTGTTTCTAAATGGCGGAACAGTTGCGTGAAAATGGAATCACTTTTGACTGACTCTGAAGACGTTAATCAAATACGTTGTGATCGTGACCTTGTCCAAAGGAATTTCAATGATATTTTGGGTTTATACCAAAGGTTAGTTCAACTTTGCCCTCAGGGAATCGATGATAAAATCGCGAAAAAATACGAAACTGCTGAAGAAGAGAATTTTCAATTGTCTAAACGTATTGGTGACAGATTATATGACATTCAAAGTGAAGGAAGGTCTAATGGATCTCGTCGATCTAATAGATCTCAAGATAGGAAGTTAGATTTCACAAAATCCAACACGATTGATGTTAAACCTAAATTGTTCGAACCTTCGAGTAAACCGCCTGAATCTCAAATACCGAAGTCTAGTTTGGTTAGTGATTACTTAAACAATGTTCCGTCTACTATCGGACCTGCAGAACAGGAACCTAACAGTAACAATGGTGTTGAAATCCAAATTAGTGATTTAGCTCGTCTCATAGCTGATCAAAATCAGTTAAATCGTTTACCTGCTCCAGAACCAGATGTGTTTACTGGTGAAGCTTTGGAATATCCTGCTTGGAAGTGCGCCTTTAAAACTTTGATTGAAAATAGAAATATTCCTCCTGAACAATGCATGCATTATCTTAGAGGATATCTAGGTGGTGAAGCGAAAGACGCTCTTAGTAGTTACTTCCTGTTTGACTCCGAATATGCTTTTCATGAAGCTAAACAGTTATTGGAAAAACGCTACGGGAATCCGTTTAATTGCTACCCGGTTCAATAAAAAGTTGGAAGAGTGGCCCAAAGTTCCTGCTCGAGATGGAAAGGCTCTACGACGTCTGGCAGACTTTTTGAGGCAGTGTAACGTTGCCATGAGGTCAATTAATACTTTGCGTGTGTTTAATGACAGTCGGGAAAACAAGAAACCTTTGGAGAAGTTACCTGATTGGTTAGTTTTACGTTGGGGACGCATCAACCATGAATATAAATTGGTTCATAATTGTACGGGATGGGCGGTAAGTTTACCGGCGTTGGGTTCTCAAATGCTTATAGAAAGGCTCCGAATCAAAAAATGAGGACTGTATACTCATTCAAATGTGCAGGTCCAATCATTCATTTCAAGTTCTGTGTTTACAAATCTTTAATCAGCCATCTTTATTTTTACATAAGGGAGATAACTCTTATAAACGTATAATTACCGTACCACTTGACCGTTTAAAGTAACTCAGTCACACTCCCCCCTGATGACCAGTGGAATGAGTTAAAGTCCTATATTTAAACGAATGAAGTGGTCATCACCCAATTTGAAATAATTTGAAAGTCTATCATGTAGCTTTAAATTGAAACAGTTAAAGATCCTTCATCCACGATTTCCTCTTTTCATTTGCCTTTTTGGCTGCTGTTCGCTTTGGTCTCGGTGTTCGAGTCTCTTCTTTTGGAAATATAACATCGGCTTCATCACTTCTATCATCCGGTTTCAAAATTGTTTCTTCGGATTCTGTTGACTTTTGAATTTCCATAGGATATAAATGCTGCACAGGTCTGCGAAGAGTTCTGGTTTTACCATCTTTGGTGTGAACGCGAACTATAGCTCCACGTGTTTGGTTGTCGTTATCTGTTATCAATTGCTCAATTTTACCCAATTTCCATTGGCCTCTTCGGTGATCTTGATCGAGAATAACAACTACATCTCCGATATTAGCAATTGATTTAACTTGTGGACTATGACGGTGAGATGAGCGTAGTTCTAAAAGATATTCCATTATACCATTCGTCTAGTTATTTCGTTGTGGGTAGGGTCATAGTCTGGATCTTGGTTAGTATTTGAATTTACATCTGGTAAATTGGTAACTCTACGACCATACAAAAGATGAAAAGGGGTCAAAGGTTCTTCCACATCCTCTGTCGAGACATACGATAGGGGCCGAGAGTTGAGCACAGCTTCTGCTTCAATCAGGACAGTTTCTAATTCTTCATAAGTAAGTTTGGCTCCACCGACGGTCTTCTTCAGACATCTTTTTGTGGACTTGATAAGTCGTTCAAATATGCCACCCCACCATGGGGCCCTTTCAAGGTTAAAGTACCAATGAATGCCTTTGCCCTGCAAGTAATAATTGAAATCCGGATCCTTGGAAAGCTTCTCAAAATGTGTCGCTGCTGATGTGAAAGTTTTCCCATTGTCAGATAAAATCTTTACGGGTAGGCCCCTTCTTGATGTGAAACGTTGAAAACATCGAAGGAACGATGATGTCTGCATATCAGGAACTAATTCCAAGTGAACCGCTCTACTGGAACAACAGGTGAACAAGCATATCCATACCTTCTGTTGTAAATCATTGTCATTGGTTTTCACATAAAGTGGACCAGCAAAATCTACTCCTATATGACTAAAAGGTGGATTTTCAGTGACTCTGAAGTTAGGTAGTTGT